TCTGGGGCACCATAATCTCTGCTGTAAATATTCTGTCTGTCATGACGAGAGGTGTTATGCTGGCCATGAAATCCTACAAATTGCTTGCAGCTGTTCTTCCTGTTCCCACCTTGCACTACAAAATGGCCTCTGGGAACAAAAGGCTATTTTGATGCCTTGGAAGGGTTAAATGCTGCTGATTTGACAATTGCTGGGATCTTATCATGCTAGTTACTGGCCCCATTTCTTTACCATTTCTGGTACTCACTTTGTCATGTAACTTTTCAGTGTTCTCTAACTATGGGAGGCGTGTCCTTTCACCTTAATTTGGGGCTTCGTGTGTGATTTGTTTAGGTTAAGAGAATGAGGCAGAAGTGAGAGTGTGCCAGTTCTCAGCCTAGGCCTCAATAGGACTTATATGTTTCTGTCTGTCCTTTTGTACCTGCGATTGCCAATGAGAAGAACATATCTGGGTTAGCCTGCTGGATGAAAATAAGAAAACAAGAACCACATAGACTAGAGTTTCTCTTGCCAAGTTGGACCTAGCTTGAAGCAGAGCCCCCATTCCATTCTCAGGTGGAAGATGGGAAGGAAGCCAAGTCTAGATCAGCTGACCTCAGATGACCTATAGATGTATGAACAAGCCTACCTGCAATCTACAGAGATACCCAGATGAGCCAAGCCTAGATCAGCCAATATCTGGCCAAACCACAGTTGCATAAGCTATCACAATAGCTTATGGGGGTGAGTTTTGGGGGGTGGATTTTTATGCAGCTATAACTAACTTACACTCACTGATGACAAATAGATATGCAAAATCTGACATAGAAGGAAATATAAATTGATTATGTGGAGAGCTAAAAGTTCTCTGTGCAAAATATGCTTTTCTATGTAAAAGCTACATCATTTGCGATTTTAAGAAAGGATGAAAAGAAAATATTTAGAGAGATCACATTCAAATATACAAGGATGAACTGAAGGAAGATAGATCTGTCACTTGTACAAATATATACAGAAAAATTGTACAGTGAATGGTGGAATAAATGCTGTCTGAAGGAATCTGAAAAACTCTCAATTTTCCCATTTCATAGTTAGGCTAACTGTTGTAAACGAGGCTACTCTAGGAGCTAGGAGACAAATATGTTGAAAAATGTACTTGTTTTGCAATGTAGCTTAAAATAGTTACTCATTTATTCAAACCAATGCCTTCTAATTTCTAGGCATTAAATGTTCATAAAATGGTTATAATTGAAGGCATTTAGTTAAAATAAAACTTAATCTTAAATCCACTGCTTTTAAGATGACTTCTATGGGACTCTGATGAACGCTTTTAATGTGATGTAAATTCTTGGAAATTTGTGAGCTTTTGTTTATTTATTCAATGTGGATAACATAAAGAAAAACATGAGGCAATAGAATTAATATGCCAAAAAATGGCTAACACTTATTTGGTTCCTTCTTAATTTTTATTGTACTTTTATTGTATTATTTGTAACAATATTATAGATGAAATGATTATTCTTATTTTACAGATAAAATACCTGAGGGTCAGGGAATTTAAGTAACTTGAAATGCAGTTACTTCTGGCTCTAAATTCAAGTAGTGATGTGCAAATCAGCATTTCCTTTTCAGTATAAATATTGGGAACATGAACAAAGTTTGAGAAAGTTTTTCAATCTGAATTATAGAAGTTGAAATTAAAGTACTACTATTCTGACATAATATAAGATAATTCTATAAACCTTGAAATAGCATACATTAGACATGATCGGGTCTTCTGAGAAAATCCTTAATATAGTTCTGAGAAAGCTAAAAGTTTATCATATCTTTAGAGTGCTATATTGAGTCAAGTTTGAGAGTTTAAATCCGTGTTGTTTCATTTTGGCACTTAGTGACACACTGCTTTTTTCAATACATGTCATGGTTGTGTCACTACCCATTTGATTATTCCACTTTTGTATTCCCTAAATGCTGTCGATGAAGCCAGATGTAAAAGAGATGAGAAAAATATTCTTTTTTTAAAAAAACTAAAGTACGTTTTAATTTTTTTCAAAAGAACTTATTTTAAAGGATGCCTGGCTCATGGCAGATGAGAAATAAATATTTGTTAAATAAATATACCTATTCATGTTCAAAGACAACTAGCTGCTAATAATAAGTCAATCTATGTGATAAAAATAGACTATTACCATCCTAGGTGCCTTACATATATCATCTTGATTCATCCTTGTCGTAATACCACACAGCAAGCATGTTTTCCCTATTTGCAGGTAAGGAAAATGAGACTCGGAGAGATTAAGTAATTTGATCAAGTTCACATAGCCCATAAGTTGCCAAGTATGAATCTTACTCAGGTGTATAAGACCAGAAACCTAAAATCTTATTTGTCTTGAGCTCCTTTTGTCAACACATCAAGACATCTGAGCTACTTTCTTATTATCATCTCCGTAATAATGAAGAATATATAAAGAATGGTAAAATTCAGGTTTTAATGTATTCTTTTATTACTGAACCTGAAGCCGACCTTGTAGATCGGCCAGAGATTTTTAAGTCCGAGCATAAGTTTATGGCTGTTTCCACCATTTCCTATTCTTAAAGCCCTAGGCTGAGGTTCCTTGATGTTTGTTCATGAACACGCATTCTGATGAAATGCAGAGCATTCTAAAATACTTGCCTGCTAGTGGATCTTTAGAGATTTTCCAACAGCTGAGTGTTCAGAACAAATTTTCCCACCTTCACACCTCCTTAGGATCTCACACTTTCAGATCAGCCCACTGTGTGGGATGGTGAAGGTAGGTAAGGTAGGAGGGCAATAATGGAAAAATCTGACCTCAGAGGCTTTTACAACAGAGATCAAGCTGGTGTGCATAGTTGCTGAGCTGAGATTCAATGTGAAATAGTTGATGCTCTCCAGATATTTTAGTGACTTCCTCCTTGAGCTTTCAATCTTTTTGTCTTCTTGGATCTTGCAAAGAAGGAAAAGGACAGCTGAAAGATATCCTTTCATTTTCATCAAGACTGTATATCCCAGTTCTTAGAAAAAAGGCAAATAAATAGGAAGTAAGTTCGGTCTGAAACCACCAAATAAAAATTGACACGAGAATGCCATCTCTGTGTTTTTATACCTGTATTGAAATCACCCAGCCAGTCAATAATAATTTCTCAAATCTGCCTTGGCCAGGTGTAGCACTTTTGCTTTACAACATGCTTCCCCCTTGATTTCATGCTGTCTCCTCTTTGGCATTTTACTAGATCTTGTGGGGCTCTGCCAAGGGCACCAGACAGGCTTTCCGTCAGGAGTTTTTCCAGGCTAAGAGCCAAATAAGTGGCTTGGAGTTTTCCAGAACCTCCTTAACTGTTCTTTTCAGCCCTGATCATTTATAGTAGAGGCATGAGGGTGCAGGACATAATGGATTATGTCATTGGGTGATTTGCTGACTCTTCATTAGTAGGCAACATAGAGAAATCTGTAAGAAGAATGTGAGCTGTCAATACTGGGATGCAAGTGATAAGGAAGGAAGATTTTAAGAATGTGGTAATGGGAAATATCTGCCAATCTGGTCTGTCCTTACCAAAGGAAGAAAAAAATCCTCTAGCTTGGTAATGTGAAAGTTCTAATTGCAACCAGCAATCAACCTGATATTTGAGTCTCTATGTTCATTGTCACTTTCTCATAGTGTGGAGTTGGCTAGACTTGCATTGTAACACAGACATCCCACTGGAACTCTCAGGCCCAAGATGGAAAGCTGAGTTGCCTATCAGTAAGCAATACTTTTTAAATCTTGGAACCTTTTCATCATGATGTCATTTGGTTTCACAGCTCAGATTGCTTCCTAGCTGATATTCTTTCCATCCAGAGTAGCAATGTGTGCCTTGTGGGGCTTTGAAAATGCCTCGAGACTTTCACTCCACTTTTACTTATAAATAGACTTCCACTCCATCTAAATAAATTTCAGATTAAATTACACTTTATTAGTCTCTGAAATATTACCATAAATTGGAATTTAAAATAAACTGCAATGAGATCAAACCCAGTTGACACAAAAACATTAGGCTGCTAACATATTGATTGACAATTTATACTTTAAAATGTTAGTTGGGTAAATAATTTATTAAAATTCATTTAATCTAATTCTTGAGTTAATTTATTTTGGTTTCCATTTTGTATTATTTCTTTTAGGGAGGTTGGGAGATCCTTATCCTTTGCATTCTGTGGAACTATTGGTTTGAATTTTGATTTGTCCTGTTTATCCACAGGATACCAAAATTGGCAGTTTAGATGGCAAAACATAGTTCAAAAGTATACAGAAAGGCTCAGATAAACATTGTGCCCAATTTATTCATAGATTACTTAAATCTGTTACCTTTCACTGTGTAAAGACAGAGAGTGCCTTCAGCAAGATGAGCCATTGCTTTATTTTTAAAGCTCGCTTATGTCAACGCTTCCTATCCATGACTAGGTTGGCCACCGTTATTCAGGGGTGAGATCAGAGTTCTTTTCTTTCCTAGAGCTGCTTGCCATTTTCCCAACACCTGCCTTGCAAGTGACAGCTCTGTGGGTGTCCTCATAAATTACAAATCATGTGCCTTGGTTCTGATGCCTTGGGGCAAACACGAAGTTAGAAACTGTCCTGTAACTTTAGAACTGTAGCTGCAGGATGGGACAGCTGAGTAGAGAACAGAGATGCACCTCAGCAGGGGGCCTGTTAAGACTCTATCAGGCTGCCTGCCTGATGCTGGTGGACAATTTGTACCACTGGAAACTGAGTGTAAGCTGTAAGTTGGCAGGAGGAAGAACGGATGTATGTAAGATGGAGGTTTTTTTTTTTCTTTTTAGGGTCATCTTTAGGACTATGATTATATGGTAAAAATAAGCTCCCATTCAGCATTCTCACTTTGTTTAAAAACTTTTATTGAATTTTTTAAGTCTGAAAATGACTTTCTGATATCTGAATGGAATAAGAATTTTAATTTCCATACTTACCTGGCAGGGGAGATACCATGATCACCAAGGTGGTTTTCCCAGGGCGAGGCTTATCCATTGCACTCCAGATGTGCTGACCCCTGTGATTTCCCCAAAAGTGGGAAACTCGACTGCATAATTCATTGCAGTGGGGGACTGCGTTCGTGCTTTCCCCTGTTTTTAAGAAAAAAATTAAAAAAAAAATTTTAATTTCCTTCTTTTAACTTTCTTATTTCATGGATTCCATAACAAAGGCTCAAAGTAAACATAAAAACAACAAAAGAATGTAAATGTGCATGATGAGTAACTTTCTTTCCACATCATCTATCCTAGATATGTTACAGGGCTATTGTAGCTGATAGCCTAATAAGAAAACCTGTAAGTTAGCTATGGCTGTGTAGCAAATCACTCCAAAAACTTAGTGGCTTAAGAACAATGTATTACTTTCTAATGGGTAAGCAGGCCTGATGGGCAGTTCTGCTAGTCTAGGTGGCAATTAGCTGAATTCACTCAAGAGTCTATGGTTGGCAGCAGCTCTACAGGGCGGCATGGCTAATCTTAACTGAATTCCCTCATATATCTGAGGCTTCAGTTGGAATAATTGGGCAGCCTTGTTCTCTGTTCCAAGTTTCACCCTCTAGCAAACTGTCCTGAGCATATTATAATGAAGAAAACATAGGAACCAGAGGAGAATAAAAAAATGTGCAATTTTTTAAAAGTCTGTGCTTGTGTCAAGTTTGCTACTGTCCCACTGGCTGATGAATGTCATTCACTCTGGTGAATCCCAGAGTTGGTGTGGGAGGAGACATAATAACAAAGAGTGTGGATACATGGAGACATGAAAAACTGGGGTCATACATGCAATGAATTTTCCACACATGGCAAGAAGGAGAAATGTTCCATCTGAATTATTGATGCAACATGTATAATTAGTGTTTATTTTGAAGTATTTTATTATAGCCTGTTTCTTTGAAAATCAATCATCCAAAATGGATTAAAAATTAATTTTCAGTTGAAAAGAATTCTGATAATTGAATATAGGTAATGAGATTAAAACACTTTTTTTATTATAACACTGAGAAGCCTGCAAGCAAGTAAACTTCTGGACTCACCAAGAGATATGAAGGCATCTGAAAGACTTCTTTCCTTCTCGTCTCCCCCACCAATCTGCTAGGTGGTATTCCTTCACTTTGAATAAGTTTTTTTATGGCATTAAAACTAACACACAAAGGTCATGTCTTCAAAATTCTTTGGATGTATTACAACAGGAGACGCTGATATTTCTAGTTTTAAATGAGTAGAGAGTTAGAAGGAGAATTAGGAGATTTTCTTCTTTCCCACTCCTGAAATATGTGTTTTCCATGGATTGAGCCTGCAGTTGACCTGCATTGATATTTAATAGTACATTCATAGGATAAATTAGGTGCTTTGCTAATATTATGCATAGCAAGAAGAAAAGCTAATCAAGTTTCTTGACACATGGGTTTTGCCAGGTGTCCACTTTGGTCATGATGACATAGATATTCTCTTTTGCCTCCTGCTAGAGTGGAACTAAGACTCAGGGCCACACAGGCAGGCATGCACTATCTTCTGATTTAAAACAAAACATCATCTTCTTTACCAACACAGAGAAAAATCGTTCATGACATTGATGAGCTCCACTTTCTCTGTTTCTGACCTTCTAGTGTAGTAGAGGCAATTCTATGAAAAGGAAATGTAGTTAGAACTAGTGTGTGTTTGTGTGTGTGTGTGTGTGTGTGTGTGTGTCCTTCTTTTCTTTCCTCTTTATTTATTTTTTTTTTTAAGCAGCAATCACTTTGTCCTGGGAATCTGGAAGTTGGGTAACTGTTTAGTTTTTCTCAATGTGTGGGCCAGCAGCATCAGAATCACCAGAGAACTTGCTATACATGCAAATCCTGCGATTCTCCACTCCATACGCAGTCCATCAGAAACTCTGGAGGTAAGTTTCAGTGATCTGTTTTGATAAGCCCTATAGGTGATTCTGATGCATATTAAACTTTGAGAACCATTCACTGGAGCTTCTATAGCTATGCTATCAAAGAATGATAGCCACTAGCTAAGTGGAGCTATTTACATTTAAATGACTTAAATAAAATTTAAAAGTCAGTTCCTTATTACACTATCCATATTTCAAGTGCTCATTAACCACATGTCTAGTGGCTACTTTACTGCATGGCATAACTATAGAGAATTTCATTCATCATTGCAGAAAGTTATATTGCATGGTTTCAGTGTTTCATTCCTCTAGTTGACTTTCTGGGACTCAACATCCTTCAAATAACCCTCTCTAGTGTGCCTCACATTGTGATGGGGCAGGTCCTTGGCTTTTCTAAATTCAGGGGTCTTTTATTATCTTCAGACATCTTGGACATATTGCAGGCTTCCTTTCTTCCTTGTGTATCTCCTTTTTGCCATTTGTCCCTGGAGGCTGGAGGTAGAAATCAGGCAGCCCAGCGGCTATATCCCACTCACAGATGTTTCAACTGGCACATTAGAAATTGGGATATTTTACATTAAAATTTAAAAATTTTCATTTCTTTTGAATTGGAGAATCTGGCAACCTCCATTCCTCTGGATGTAATCTGCTGGGGGGTGGAAGCAGCTTTCTCCTTCAGTCGGGCAGGAACACTCAAGTTTGCCGCAGCCCTCACTTGCTTAACTTCGCTCATTCATGTTCTCTGCCTAACTTCCCATGTGAATTTGAGTAGAATGCTATAGGCTCTACTATAGAACCTGTCTTCCCTAGTTTCTCATTCTAACAGCCATTGGGATTCTCAGTATCTCTAAAGAATGATTCTTGACAAGCACTCTGATGACAGTTAGAATGATCTGTAGTTTCTTGATGGAAGAGCCTTTTAATTTTTCTGTTTTTAAATTAAATTTATTTTATTTTTTGAGACTAGATCTCGTTCTGTCTCCCAGGCTGGAGTGCATTGGTTTAGTCCCAGCTCATTGCAGCTGGCACCTCCCTGGCTCAAGCGGTCCTCCCACCTCAGTCTCCTAAGTAGCTGGGACTACAGGCCTGTGCTACTTTTTCTTTTTTATATTTTTTTGTAGAGATGGGGTCTTGCTATCTTGCCCGGACTGGTCACAAACTCCTGGGCTAAGCGATCCACCTCTCTCAGCCCCCAAAGTGCTAGGATTACAGTCATGAGCCACTGTGCCCAGTGCAATAGGTTTTTAAAAGAAAATTTTTACCAGGCCGTCTAAAGCAACAGAAATAAGTGGACCAGAAAAACAAAAGTGATAAACTCACAGATGACTTCTCACTTCTGAGGCAGGAACAAGGACCATAACTTCCCCTTTACTCAAAGCAGGGCTTACTCAATTGATTACGGAGCTTGTAAGTCTCTTCTGGAAGGACTTGCCCCAGGAATCAAGAGCACTTTACAAAAATGGCAGAATATTCTTCCTCGGACCCCATAGTGAGCAGAGAAACCTGACAGAGATGTAATGCCAATTGAAATCTTGTATTATGAGAAAAAGAAGCTGGAGCTATTTTTCTTATGAATGACTACGTTTTACTGCAATAACTGTTTTATGAATTGCAGAACTTTGTTTTTACTGAGGATCTCTGAAGTCAGTCTTTATTCCAGATTGATTACATCAACATTCATTTATGGGAATTAGTAAACTTCACTGGGGTTTCATTCTCTTCTCAAAGATTAGAGAGAACATCCGTGACAGACATAGCATCACCTAAGGAAAACTTACCTGAGTATAAACTGGTCAGTGAGGTGTGAAAAGCAGAGATTCTATCAGCATCATAGAATCTTATTTGCCCAGATTCACAAGCCAAGTTTGACTATCTTAATTGTGTCTGTCTTTGGTTAAGTAGGTCTTGTAATGCTTTTTTAAAAATATACTCAATGAAAAGCTGAAGGTTAAATGGAACACCAAATTGAGTAAAAGAGAAAAAAGAATTGTAAAATATAGTTACTCAAAAAGCATTTTCCTAGAGAGATAAGTTAAGAACCTTATCTTTGTTCACCAAGTTTCAGAGAAAATAAATGGTAAAATAGTCCCTTCAGTGGAGTTTTCTCTAAAATCCAGATCTGATCACGTCACCTACCCACTCCAAACCATGTAATGACTCCTGCTAATACTAGGTTACAATTTAGTTTATACTCTTTAATCTCTTCCAGTTTTGTCTCAACTTGCCTTTCCAGTTTCATTCATTACTATGTTTTTGAACACATCATACCGCAAGTCAACTTGTATACACATTTCTTTCGAAACCCTCTTGTCATTGTGTGTTTTAGTGTGTATTGTTCTTTCCGTTTGGAATAGTTATTTCTATTTTTCTCTTAAAATTCTGTTTATCCTTGTGAGGGTTAATACTGAGTGTCAACTTGATTGGATTGAAGGATACAAAGTATTGATCCTGGGCATGTCTCTGAGGGTGTTGCCAAATGAGACTAACATTTGCACCAGTGGGCTGGTAAAGGCAGACCCACCCTTAATCTGGGTGAGCACAATCTAATCAGCTGCCATAATGACTAGAATAAAAAGCAGGCAGAAACATGTGAAAAGAGAGACTGGCCTAGCCTCCCAGCCTACATCTTTCTTTCATTCTGGATGCTTCCTGCCTTCAAACATTGGACTCCAAGTTCTTCAGTTTTGGAACTCGGACTGGCTCTCCTTGCTCCTTAGCCTACAAATGGTCTATTGTGGTATCTTCTGATCGTATGAGTTAATACTTAATACACTCATATGATATATATATATTTCATAGTTCTGTCCCTGTGGAGAACCATAATATAATCCTTCAGTGCCTACTGCAGGCGATCTCCTTGGTGAAGCTCCTCATCTCTGTACACAAAATTGGTCCTATTTACATTTGGGTTCCAATATTGCCTTGAGTATATGTCTTTTAGCATTTATACTCTTTTGCAACATTGGACATGTATGTCTTCACTATTTGACTGTAAGCTTGTTGAGGGAAGGGTTTTTGCTTTGTTTATCCTAATGCTTATCTTTTGTCCTGGAACATAGCAGGAACGCATTAAATATTTGAAAAGATGATGATTATAAATATTAATCCCCCAATACATGAAGTATGTATGTATATGTACATAGTTATATACCTATAAGTATATATTCATATTGTTTCTTGTACTTTTACATATTTTATTGGGAAATAATATTTAATGCTTTTTTTTCAACTTTTAAGTTCAATGGTACATGTACAGGATATGCAGGTTTGTTACAAAGGTAAACATGTGCTATGGTGGTTTGCTGCACAGATCATACCATCACCTAAATATTAATCACAGCATCCATTGGTTGTTCTTCCTGTTGCTCTCCCTCCACTCGCCCCAACAGGCCCCAAGGCATGTTGTTTCCTGCAATGTGCTCATGTATGCTCATTGTTCAGCTCTAACTTATAAGAGAGAACATGCAGTGTTTGGTTTTCTGTTCCTGCATTAGTTTGATAAGAATAATGGCTTCCACTTGTATCCATGTCACTGCAAATGGCATCATCTCATTCCTTTTTATGGCTGCATAATATTCCATGGTGTATATGTACCACATTTTCTTCATCCAGTCTATCATTTGAGTTAATTCCATGTCTTTGCTATTGTGACTACAATGAACATACATGTGCATGTATCTTTATAACAGAATGATTTACATTCCTTTGGTTTTATACTCAGTAATGGGATTGCTGGGTCAAATGGTATTTCTGCCTCTAGGTACTCGAGGAATCACCACACTGTCTTCCACAATGGTTGAACTAATTTAAACTCCCACCAACAATGTAAAAGCATTCCTTTTTCTTCACAACCTTACCAGCATCTGTTTGTT